TTAAATGTAAGCAAATATATTTTAAGTTATTTGATACAGAGTTTTATATATATATATATATATATATATATATATATATATATATATATTGTTAATGTGACAGCGTTATTCTCTGAGATGAACAATAAGAAGGAACAACAAGGAGGGCGTTAGTAAAACAGGGGAAGATGATTCCCATTGGCCTAGGGAATAATGCGACAAGTGCGCTCACTGTGATAAACAGCGCCATCCTAGTTGCAAGTGAGCGAGATGTGGTTTCGCGGGATTCAAACCTCACAGCAATTATATCTTGAACATTATTAATTTGTTGGCAATCAACACATATCCGTTGCTGTCCATAACCTTCTTTGCCAATTGATATAGAACATCTATCCAAAGCGTGTACATACTTTTGCATTATATAACACGTGTGTCCACCAGTTGGTTCATGTCCATTTTCACAAGCTGGGCATTTTTTTTCGTTTCTTATATTATTTTGCTCAACGATATCGTTATTCTCTTCACTATAGTGAATATCTTCCTCTAATTCCATTGTATCTCTTAACATAATCTCTTGTGTATTTACATTTGCTATTGTTATGCGACCACTCATGAAATTCACATGCTTCATTACAAATTCATCTGCACGCATAGGAGTTTTTTCAGTTTTTAACATAATGTTTTTTATTATATTAAAATAGCTTTTTACGGAAGCACTGCTAGCTGGTACTCGACCATATCCAAATCTGTCTCGGCATATACACGACCATAAAGGTAGTAATTTTACATCTTTTATAAGATAATCAGCTAATTTTAGCATATAATGAGCATTTTCTCTGTCTCCCTCATTATCAGCTATTAAAATCTTAACGTTATCATCGATGTTTTTTACCCAATGACTCCATTTATTGAAATTATTTTCTTCTTTGTCTTGTACATCATTATAATCTTTTACATGTCTTGTACATCATTATAATCTTTTAAATTTTCCATACTTAATTCTTCAGGAAAATCTTTTGTAAGAAAATCTTTTATTTTTAGTTTATATTCTTCACATATTGTCTTTTTATTTTCTCTTGTCTTACCTTCTGTTTCGCTTCGCGCAATAATTAAAATTTCTTTCAATAAATCTTCTGCAACTTCAATATCCCGACATAAAATCAGTTGTTCTAATATGGACAAATAAAATTGCTTTATACGAGAACGTGTGTCTTTCAAAAAATTTGCATATTTTTTAATAAAATGTGCTACATCAATCCGTATATAACAAGCAGGTAAATTATTTTCTTTGCACCCGTCCGCATATTCTTCAAGTATAAAATAATTGGTAAAACAACGAACAGCTGTTGTTAATAATGCACGTGAAAAATCGCATACAACTTTACGTGGTCGTGGTGCCCCAGATCGTGTCCACTCCATTAACCAATATTGAATGATATTTGTATTATGTCTTTCTGATAACATCTGTGATACTGGAAAAAGTCCACTTCTTTCCGAATTAGCCACACAGTTATATAAAAATATATGTCCTGTTTTTTATTTATCTGGTCTTTTAATTTTTTTAATAATGCTACCAGTTGCGTCAATATAAATGCATGCTGTTTCATCAGATGTATATGTTCTATATACATCTAATTGATAATTTGACTAATAATGCACAAAAAATGGATTTAATCCAATATTATGAACAATATTCTTTAATGGTCCTAATTGCATAATTTGTAACACTTTTATTGGATCTTTATCAAAATAATTTGCCTGCGTAACATATTTAGCAATACGTAAAATGTTATCATTACTTTGCATTAAATTTTCTGTCATTTCTGCTCTATATTTCATTACACTAGCTCCTTGTAATTTTTGGACAATAGTTTGTCTAATGGATTTCTTAAATAATGGGATTTCTTAAATAACGTTTCTCGCAACGCCCTTCTCCTTTAATAAATTTACAGTTTATTTTAGTAGTTACTTCATTTGTGTTATCTATAGCACACTTTATTAAGGATCCACATTTACATGTACCATAAGCGTATCCCGATTCTCCATCACATGCTAATTTAACTCGTTTAAAATTAAAATTAAAACCACAAGATAACTTAGTAATTTCCCAAATTTTTTCGCTAAATACCTGTTGCCATGTTCCAGGTTGCGATATTGTATATTGTCGCGTAGAAGGAGGTCGATCTTTATCTTTTCGTTTATATGTTTTGTAAATAATCATAGATGTAAAATCCATTTTCGCCATAGTAATTGTGAAACATAATATATCATTATTAATTACAGACTCATCGGATTTGTTTAATGATTCTATTGTTTTTGAAACAGTGCTTGATGCATTTGAAATTCGTTGCACATTACAATTGATATCCATTTCCTGATAAGGAGAATGCTCTCTGACGGGAAGCTGTTGAGTTAATTTTTCTCTTATTTTATATCTATTACAAGTTACAAATGTGTATAGTGAATTTGGTGTTAAATGATTTTCAATTTCGTTAGCTATTGTTTTCCAAATTGCATTGTGTTTCGAAACTATCTTCTGATTTTTCTCTATAATTTGATCCTTGTGTTTTATTAATGTATCAATTAAAGAATCTTTATTTATCATTGTTGGTCTTCCACGCATTTTCACAATATAAAATAAATAAATGATATTACAAGTAATATAACAATAAAAACTAATAATTAGGAAAAATCACTCTTGTACTTGTCACTAATTCGAAAAAAACTGAAAATTAAACCGAAGTTTTTGTTACGACCGCGAAAATACTGAGCACAACGCACTATAAATAAAATGAGCAATATAGTAAAACAGATATACTAAGGTACGCTAGACGGCGGCTATTGATGCCAGTTTCGAGACGTTACCAGCCAACATATACAGCGTGTATCAAAAGTTCCGAGAGGGCTGGATAATTTGAAAAATACGCATCACAGAGGAAAATGACCTAGACAAAAGTTGTAGGATTTTTCCCGGGCAATCCGACGGTGACCTTAGATTTGACCTTGGATAGTCATTTGAAGGTCACATAAAGATTACCTTCAATTTCTTAAATGGAACCCCCTATTTTTCATTGCATATTCTTGTAGCTTATCTCGAGAGCTTTCCAAAACACTATAATTAAGTACCTTTTTATTAAGTACTTTTTGAGTTATAAGGCTTGAAATAATTTCTTAATTTTACATAAACCATAAAATATCTAGTAAATCATTCATTTTTCGATTATCTTACCTTCATACTTTTATGTACAAAATAATGAGAGGAATCAATTGGTGTAAAGAAAACACATAGTTGTTTCTAAGAAAAAATATGTAATTTGCAATTAACAATTCCATATTTTTTCTTAAAAACAACTGTATGTTTTCTTTACACCAATTGATTCCTCTCATTATTTTGTACATAAAAGTATGAAGGTAAGATAATCGAAAAATGAATGGTTTACTAGATATTTTATGGTTTATGTAAAATTAAGAAATTATTTCAAGCCTTATAACTCAAAAAGTACTTAATAAAAAGGTACTTAATTATAGTGTTTTGGAAAGCTCTCGAGGTAAGCTACAAGAATATGCATTGAAAAATGGGGGTTTCCATTTAAGAAATTAAAGGTGACCTTCACGTGATCTTCAAACGACTATCCAAGGTCAAACCAATGACACCATCTTATGTCCCCCCCGAAGTCACAAAACTTTTGTCTGAAACATTTTTCTTTAAAATGTCGCGTTTACGAAAAAATCGGGTGAGACGGGTGGTCTGGGACACTCTGTATATATATATATATATATATATATATATATATATATATAATATTACAAAATTGTAATTATTTATTTAAAATATTTTCATTTATTGTAATATACTATGTATCATGAATATCTATTAATTTATATATTTGAGTTTTTAATTTGTAAAAAATTATACGTTATATGAAAAGTTATTACATATAAAAAATTGAATGATTTTGTGGATTTTCTCTGCAATGTCTTTGTATTATAATATTTCATTACAATTTGCAATATTGCAATGAAACATTACAAAAACATTGCTACAATATAATTACAATAATTTGTATTGTATAGAGGTTCTCTCGTTTTATCAAAAATATAGAAATATTTTTAACTCACCCCAAAACATAAATCTAGCTACATCTATGGTATACATATCTGTTATACCTACCCATGGAGATAAAGGAGAGAGTATAGAGCCGTGAGGTTGAAGCCGAAGTGGGGAAGAGGGGTAAGCCTTCAGCCATCTTGTTCCGCGAAATTAGTGCTGCTATCTAATGCATAGCAGAGCTATTTGCTACTTGAAATATAGTGTGAAGGAGTGCTAAGTGAAATTAACTAAGAAGAAGAAGAATACGATATACAAGTAAATTAAGTGCATAAGAAAATGCCATCGTGTATTTTGAAAACTTGTTATAACAGAACCTTCCGAAAATCACATAAACAAGAAGAACTCGAAAAAAAGCAGAAGATAACTTTTCACACGTAAGTGTCACAACAATAATAATGTAAGATCTTTGCATAACGGAATTTACGAAAAATCTTACCAAATGAAACATAGACTTGTTATAATAAATAATTGTTTAAAGATGTAATATATATTGGAAAACAATAAAATCTCAATTCTTAATATATTTAATAGGTTTCCAAAAAATACGTACAGACGAAAGCATTGGTGTGAAATATTACAGTTGCCTGAGAATTCTATAAAATCAAATTCAGTAATATGCTCAATGCATTTTCATGAAGAAAGTTTCGATAAATCGTCACGACGCTATATTAGATTAAAAGCTGATACCAACCCATATGTAAGATATATTGAAATTGTATCATTATCTGTGTGTTTGTCTTGTCACTATCTGTCACTGCTCAGTTGATTTTTGTTGAGATATTTCATTTTATTTCATTTTATGATTTAAAATGAAAAGAAATATCGGCTATGATTTATTAACTTTGATACATAATATAAAAAATATACTATTTGAAAAAACATTATACCTATATTTTTAGTTATCTTCACAAGCATTATCAATGCAAAGGAAATCTCCAATAAAATGTATAGAGCAAATATATACAAAAAAATGTACAGTTACTTCAGAAAAGTTATTGTCTAACAATGAAGATCACATAAAAGGAATTCTAGACTTGCAAGCAGACAATATATCTACTGAACAAATGGATGCAGCACAAAATATTGATGTTTTTAATGTACATTGATATTACATGTTTGAAACATTTAATTTTTTCTGTTTACTTAACAACAAAGTAGAAAAATGAAAAATAGAATTCTTATTACGCATGCATTATTAATTTTTATTTGATGTTTACAGATGGAAATGCTCATATGTGAAGAAACAGCTAATAAAAAAAGAAGAAGCAATAATGTCATTGGTAAGATGTTATAACTTAAAAGTAATATATTGTATAATAATTATATTTCTTGAAATATTGATATTTTGTAAGAGAGAAAATCTTATTGTTGTTATATGACTAAAAAGAATATGTATTGTCAATTTTCATAGCTCCTGATACGCAACATCTTAAACAAGAAATTGCACAATCATCTCCAAAAATATCAAGAGCTACTTCAGTGTCTCCATGGAAAATTTATAATTCACCCAGCAAAAAACAGTTAAGAGAAGAATTAAGAAGAACGAAAGAACAGTACAATCTGCGGATAAAAACTCTAATACAAAAAACAAGACGCATGAAAAAAAAGATAGTGTCACTGGAAAATATATTAGAAGCTATAAAACAAAAAAATTTCTTAGAAGAAGAGCAACTGTACAATTTGAAAGGTATTAGCATTGGGAATGCACATTTATTAAAACGTGTAGTGTATAAGTCAAAAGGAAAATCACTAAGTCAAAAGTATTCGCCTGAATTGCGTACATTTGCTCTGACATTACACTATTATTCACCTCGAGCATATTCCTTTGTTAGAGAAACTTTCAACTCGTGTCTGCCACATCCAAAAACATTGTATAAATGGTATTGTTCTGTTAATGGGGAACCAGGCTTTAATAAAGAAGCTTTAGCATTTATCAAAGAACGAGTGAGCAAAACAGATCGCTCGTTATTTGGTGCTTTAATAATGGATGAAATGGCAATACGACAACAAGTAGAGTTTGATGGTCAAAAATTTTGTGGAAAATGTGATATGGGAGATAATATTGCTAGTGAGGAGCACAGTATTGCAAAGGAGGCATTAGTATTTTTAGTTGTAGGTGTAAACGAAATGTGGAAGATACCAATAGGATATTTTTTAATTAACAGTATAACTGGAGAACAAAAGGCAAATTTAGTTATGCAATGTTTATCACTTTTACATAATGCCGGAATATGCATAAAATCATTAACATGTGACGGCGCTGCAAATAATTTGAGCATGATACGTCTTTTAAAGTGTAATATTACTAATCCTAAGTGCATGCAAGGATATTTTGAGCATCCAAGTTCAAGCTATAAAGTCCACATATTCTTAGATGCATGTCATATGTTAAAATTATTGAGGAATACTTTGGGTGATTATAAATGTATTGTTAACAGCAAAGGGCAGATGATTAAATGGGATCACATTGTTGCATTGCACGAACTTCAACAAAATGAAGGTTTACATCTCGGCAATAAATTACGGCAACAACATATACAGTACCACAAGAAGAAAATGAATGTACGTTTTGCTGCTCAGGTATGCAGTGCATCTGTTGCAAACGCTCTTAAAATGTGCAGAACTGTGTTACAATTAGATAAGTTTACTGATTCAGAAGCAACAGAAGAATATCTTAACATGATAAACGACTTATTTGATATATTTAATTCTAGAAACTTGAGACAAAAATTTTATAAATGTCCGATAAATCCTGATAATAGTCACGTTATTTTTAATAAACTAGAAGATTGTAAGCAATATTTATTAACTTTAAGATTGGAAGATGGACAGTTGTTAGTAAATTCCAATAGAAAAACGGGTTTTTTAGGATTTTTGATTAATATAGAAAATTTGAAAGTGTTGTATCAGGATGTTTGCCAAAATAAATCGCTTCTTCCGTATATATCATTATATCAACTGAGTCAAGATCATCTTGAGTTATTTTTTGGATGCATTAGAGCATTTGGAAGGCAAAATAATAATCCAAGTGCTAGATTATTTAAGACGGCGTTTAAAAGAATACTTGTAAGGGCGCAAATTAAAAGTGCCACAACAGGAAATTGTATTGAACTTGCACATGTACCAATCTTAACAGCATCAAAACCAGAGGAAATAATAAACATAACGTCATCTATTAGTCGTATAATTGATTATGAGTGCGAGTATAAAAAAATAAATACAAATAATACAGTGCTTGAGCTTGATCATCCATATATGTTATCTGTTAACAATCTTTCCTTATCCGAATATTCCCGAGAAATTATAATTTATATAGCAGGTTTTATTGTAAAATATTTAACAAAACATATTATTTGTGAAATATGCGTTCAATCTTTAACAGATAATAGCAAAACGGGCACTTTAATCCGTTTAAAAGATAGAGGTTCATTATTTTATCCCTCACAAAGCGTTGTAAATATTTGTAAAGAAACAGAAAAAGTTATCCGTTTTTATACTAAAGAACAGCGTACTATTATCTCTGATACATATAATGCCAATTATATTGCATATTGCGTGCTACGTAATTTAAATATAAATAATATATTTACAGACTTGATTGCTCATTCAAATGATCAAAATGCTTTAACTTGTTATAGAGTGCAATTAGTAAAAAGTATAATATTAAAATATGTTAAAACTCGTTATTTTTATATTGGAAAAACTACAGATATTACTATAAGTAAAAGACATTATTATAATAAATTAATTTTATTTGCAGGAAAATAAATATATTATAAATAATATATATACATTTCATACTTCTGTGTTTCTAATATATAAAACTGATATGTAATACGTCAAAGTAATAATAGATGGCAGCATTAATGTCGCCTATCAAGATGGCTGAAGGCTTACCCTTCTTCCTCACTAAAGCTTCAGTCCCCTTACCCATAGTAAAGCCTAATACTCTCTCCTTTACCTCTATGTACCTACCATACGATGTGGTAGAAGATAACGATATAAATTTTGTATTATTGATGAGAACTTGCCATTCCCAATTTAACTGTGATTAAGTGTAAGTACACGATTAAGTGTAAGTACACGATTAAGTGCAAATACACGATTAAGTGTAAGTACACGATTAAGTGTAAGTACACGATTAAGTGTAAGTACATGATTGAGATTGTGAGCGATTAAGAAAAAAATTTTCTTTAAAAAATGTAATATTCAAGAGAGAACCTGAGAGAAATACATATAAGATCCGACATGACCTCAAATGCCATTTAAACTTAAACAAGATATGGGTACCTCTGAGAATAAAAGCTGTTCAAAAAATTTTGTATCAACAAAAATTATTTATTTTAACAAGGCGCATTGGGTAGTGACCTTAATCTTGATCACGACCATGACCTTCAAGATCATTTGAAAGTCAATTTTTTTATAAATAGAAATCTGCATTTTTGAGTTCAGAAATCGATAGAGCAAAACATTTTACATTTAAATTAAAAGATTCGATCAAGATCTAACAACTTTTCCGGATCTCAAATAAGAATGGTTTTTCTTATTGTTAGTAAAATTTAAAAATTTGATATCGTAATTGATCTCTAATTGATCTCTTATTGATTTCTGAAAAACTATTCTACCAGGAACGAATCTTCAAATCAAATGACCTTGAAGGTCATGGTTGAGGTCAAGATTAAGGTCACTATCCAATGCACTTTGTTAAAATAAATAACTTGTCGATACAAAATTTTCTGAACAGCTTTTATTCTCAGAGATACCCATATCTTGTTTAAGTTTAAATGACCTTTGAGGTCATGTCGGACCTATAACCTGAGCATATATTTGAACGTAAAATTTCTCGCTCTTGCGATTGTCGATTTCAAAAAAGGGAGTTTCCATTAAAAAAAATAAAGTTGACTTCCAAATAACCTTAAAGGTCATTGTCTAGGTCAAATTTGAGGTTACCATTAGATTCCTCGTTGAAAATTATTTAAATAATAATCTTGAACTATTTGAAAAAAATCTTACTTGAGGAAATAGCCGTCCCGTTACTTTTGTGACACCCTATACAGGGCGATCCCGAAAAACCTTCCGTCTTTAAAATGACGTATTCCTGACACTATTCTAAGACAATTTTTTCTTTACCAAAATTTGATTTGAAGCGTAGTTTTTGAGTTATAAGCAAAAATAGTTAGTAAATCACACGTCGGGTACAGGAGGCAGGCAGGGGCGGCCCAGCGCGCCGCGAGCGCGGGCGCAGCTGTTCGCCCGACAGGCGATTACCACTGCATAAGTCACTAAATATTTTAACTTATAACATAAAATTATGCTTTAAATAAAATTTTGGTAAAGAAGAAAATGTCTTAGAATTACATCAGGAATGCGTGTTCCTTAAAATAATGTTAATTATTAAAAGTTATTCCGGATCGTCGACCGTCGAACGCTGTAATCAGCTGATTGCTACACGCGATGTGTGTATGGCGGAGTGTGTGCGTAAAAGAGAGAGAGAGAGAGAGAGAGAGAGAGAGAGAGAGAGAGAGAGAGAAAGGCTAAGAGGGACAGACATTCACACACACGCACGCACGTACGCATACACTTTTTTCTCTCTCTCTTTCTCTCTTTTACAACACTCTGTCATTTAGTCACTCATTCTCTCACTCACTCACTCACTCTGCTTACTTATTGCTCACTCACCTGGTAGCAGCGTAGCGAATCTTCATGCTACGTATTGTTGTAACTGCTGCACGATTATTAGATCGCTGCACCGCTGATTGTTAGAGATGCGCGACACATCGAAACTTTCTCACTTCGAAACACTCTTACACTCGATTGACACAGATTACGCGATAACGAGTTTACTGTTTATTACTCACTCGATTCACATCGTTTTATCGAGACTAAAAATTACTTTAAAAGAAACGCGAATGCGAGAGAACATATGACTCGACGCGAAGCGACGGACCGCGGAGACTGCGCGACCACGAGGGTTATGTGTTGCCAGAAACGCGACACGTGACATCTAACAATAAACGCCTTGCGCGTGGCGCGTGATTGACGCGAGATAAGACGAACAATCGGCTAAAACCTTCTCATTGCGAATGCGATAGAAAACATGAAACGTATAATGACGTACTTAAAAAAATTAATTATTTATTATAAATGATAACTATTTTTAATCATAATAAATAATTATTATTTTAAAAAACATGTGTTATACGTTATTACATTTTCGAAACTATTGCATTCACGATGCGAAGATTTAAGTCAATCAGCAAGAATAATGTAATTAACAAATTACATTCGGGAAAATTTATTTTTATTCTGCTCACAATGAAATGTTCCAACGTGAAAATGTATTGGTCGCTCTGAAAAGAGTGGATTGATTAAAAAAAATTTTAGAGCAGATGCTCAAAATGCCCGCCATCCATCCTAACGCAAGCTCTCATGCGTTTTAATAAATTTCTTTCGACGTTTTCCATTATTTCTTCGTCGATATCCCAAATAGCAAATCGTAATCTTGTCTCTAAATCTTCGATATTTTTGTGAAGTTTTATAAATTATTTCCTTATAGTATCCCCATAAGAAAAAATCTAGAGGATTGAGATCCGGAGATCTTGCGGGCCAACGTATCGAGCCGTATCGACCCATCCAGCGTCCAGGAAAATTCTCGTTTAAAAAATTTGTAACAATTCTGGCGTTGTGTGGTCCAGCACCGTCTTGTTGATAATATCGTTTCTTTCAAATAATGGCACATCTTCCAGGAAATGTGGTAGAGTTTCTGTTAAAAAATCGACATAGGTTCTTCCAGTTAAAATGTCTGGAAGAATAACCGGACCAAGTATTGCAGTGCCCATTATTCCAGCCAATACATTAATCTTCCAACGAGTTTGAAAATTTCGTAATCGTGTGATTTTCTTCGCTCCAAAAGTGCATATTATGCACATTAAAAATTCCTTCTTATGTGAATAGCGATTCATCGCTGAATATCACACGAGAGGAATATCTTGGATCTCGATCGATGTTTCGCAAAAAATTTTCGCAAAACGTTCGTCTTGCAGGGTAAGCTGCTGGTCGTAAATGCTGCACGCGTGTATAATGAAACGCGTGCAACTTTTCTTCTTTTAATATTCTTTGTATGGTTGTATAAGATAAATCATGTTCTCGAGCGACTACCCGAATACTTGTTTCGGGATTATTCTCGAAAGTACGTATAATTCTTTCTGTATTCCGTACATTTCTAACGCCGCGATTTCTCCCAGCGTCATGTTTGTTCGGCAGGACACTGCCAGTATCGTATAATCTTTGAGCTGCTCCAAGTATGACATGACCCGATGGATGTCTTCGGTTTGGATATAATTCGGCGTATCTTCTTGCAGCAGGATTCTGCTGCCCGTGATACTCGCCAAGTGCCATCAGCATGTCGTAGTATTCTTGATTTGTACGTCATTATACGTTTCATGTTTTCTATCGCATTCGCAATAAGAAGGTTTTAGCCGATTGTTCGTCTTATCTCGCGTCAATCACGCGCCACGCGCAAGTCGTTTATTGTTAGATGTCGCGTGTCGTGTTTCTGGCAACACATAACCCTCGTGGTCGCGCAGTCTCCGCGGTCCGTCGCTTCGCGTCGAGTCATGTGTTTTCTCGCATTCGCGTTTCTTTTAAAGTAATTTTTAGTCTCGATAAAACGATGTGAATCGAGTGAGTAATAAACAGTAAACTCCTTATCCCGTAA